CGTTCAGGAGGCAAATATTTCATGGACATTCAGGATACAAATATATTCACATATAAATGCTTAATGATTGATTATTTTTTACAAGTATCTCATCTCCGATCTTTTATTATAGCCCAAAACATAACACATCCCTTCTACAACACAACGAAACTCATATCAATTTTTGTTTTATATTTGCGTCTGTAAAAAACAGATCAATTTTGATATCATGTTTTTCAAGGAAATTAATTTTTAAAAAATGCAACTACAGTGCACTTTCAATACTTCTTTCCACTTTGAACTCACTGATTCAATAATACGAAAATTTCATCTCCGCTTTAGCTTCTTTTAAAGCCGAACCCTTAATATCTTCATCAGCAATATTTATAATGAAATCATAACAGGATGCAGGTTTTTTGTCGTTTTAATCTGAAATCTGTCAAGTTTAATGTTGTTTCGTCTTAATAACTGTTTTTGATGTCAAAATATAAAATGTTCTCGTTTTGAATATAGTGTCTATTTCATGTTTTTAATTTACTGCGGTTTTGTTTTTTCTGAGATGTAGCAAAAAGTTAAATCACAAAAATACTGAACTCCGAAGAAAACTCAAAACGGAAAGTCCCTAATCAAATGGCAAAATCAAAAGCACAAACACATCAAACGAATAGACAACAACTGTCATATTCCTGACCTTTCAAACCACGTTATTTCTAGTATTTGGGTTGTCCAATCAAAATCGCCGCAACAAACGAACTGCATTTATCCTTATGCAAACAACGTTAATAAGATTGATTCTTTCCAATTTAAAAGATTATGCTCTTGAAAAGCATTACATGCGTTAAATGTCGTTTTTGCTAATTAAAGACTTCATGGGTAAAAATTAGTTGATCAAAATTTCAGTTTTGACAGTGGTGTAAACAACACAATCATAGAAAAAGGGCTTGACTCATCAGATCGGAAGTAAGCACAACACTAAATAACTATGAATACCAATCTGCGAGTAAAAATCAGTTTCAGAAAACCAGTTCAAAGTCATATTAAAACTAATGCAATTTTAAATGGACTATGTTTTTCCTAAAATGAATGATATATCGTTTCACAGTCACTGTGTCCTTTAAAAATACTTTGTACTTGTCAGAAACTCTGAAATAATGACGATAAAAAATATAGATTTCCCAACTTATATCAAAGTTTAACACTTGTTCCGATCGGTATGAAGAACCATCAATTTTCCGTATTCTGTCATTGTCTAAAATTTACACGAAGGTATGGATGGTGTTTAATCGAAAGAGAATAAGGTGCTAAAATATAAAGAATAGAGAAAAACGCGCAAAAAATAAAGAATAGACAAAAATGCGCAAAAAATAAAGAATAGAGAATAACGGGCCAAAATAATAAAATTTACCTAAAAAAATGAAAGAAAACAGAAATGAAGAGCCCGCATCCAGACCCTCCAATGTCAGCCTTCATCGGTGATTTATTTTCCATGTAAATTTTTATATAAAAACATCAACATGAATGAGTTTCACCTAAACCCTATCTAACTGCACATCGATCCAATTAGAATTAAACAAATATACATTTGCATATTCCAGATTTCTTCTTATTGACTGTCCGATATTGGTTCGTCATTTAGATTAATGACTCGGATTTGATCCCATTTGAGATAAGGTGAGATTTGTTTGACATGAGTATTTCAATGCTATCAAAGATCATCTGTGTTCAAACATTCCAATAAGAATCTCCAGTCTGTTGAGTCTAGGGATTTATTTCAATGCTATCAAAGATCATCTGTGGTCAAACATTCCAATAAGAATCTCCAGTCAATTGAGTCTAGGGATTTTGATATAATCTATCATCGCCAATGAAAGGTTGATAAAATCATACCAAAGTAAATTATACTCAAGTGGTCTTCAAACTTTGTTGTAATTAGGTACAAAAAAAATGTAGCAAATAGCCAAAAGCTATCGCAATAGAAGTCTGTTTGTCTGTCAGACGGAGTCCGGCAAGATTCATCACGGATTGGCTGTCGAAATGGGGAGCATCAGTAGCAAAGTAACAAAATGTCTTCATTTGCCTTCTTTTGGAGGGTTTATAAACTTGCCTGAAAACCGTTTTTGAGTGAAATCACGCTACCAGTTTTGTGATATCGATTGAAACACAATGTACTTGTTAAACAATGAGTTATTGATATGCACAAACGACCAATTAAGACACCCACATACTGAACAAAATCCAACCTAGGTTGGACGTTTTGCTGCTATGGTAGAAAACTTATCAAAAACGGGATATCACATCATAATGTTGTTTATAGAGCCAGTAAATTTAGGAACGATCCGTGTAAACTTCTGGATCCTTTAAATAAACTTATTCTAAAAGGGTACAGATTTAACACTGTAATTAGACCTTTGAATATTGTTTTTATCTTTGAATATTGTTTTTATCTTTGAATATTGTTTTATCTGCACAAATAATTTTGTTCTCAATAAAGTAAAACATTACTAACTATTATTGCTACACAGCTATGCACATTCACGGTCCTACATTTTGTCAATACCTCTGTCATTGCACAAAATCATTTTTTTATCTGACTGTTTATGAATTCTTTACATTTAATCCATTATGTGAACTGACTCATACTTAAGTCTAAGATACATGATATTTTTTTCATTAGTTGTTATTGGCTTTTGAACTACATTTGTAGCTTTCAATGACTACGCGTGCTCTCAGATCTGCACTTCGTGTCTTTTCAACTGATGTTTATAGTTTTTTTTTCTTACGTTGTGCTGTTACACCACTGTCCAAGGTGAGAGGAGGGTTGGGTACAAGCAAACGTGTTTAGCACCGCTACATTCTGTATGTGCCTGTTCCAAGTCAGGAGCCTGTAATTCAGAGGTTCTCGTTTGAATAGTTTTACATTTGTCATGTCGGGATCTTTTATAGATTGATATGCGGTACCGGTTTTGCTAATTGCTGAAGGCCGTAAGGTTGCCTATTGCTGGTCATTTCGTCATTTGGTGTCTGAGGGGGAATTGTCTAATTGACAATCATACTACAAGGTCATATTTTCATATTGATTGACCAGTACGGCTAATTTGTGTTGCAGATGCCCATGAGTATGATTCATCAAACATCGTTTCACCTCGGCTTCTAGAAAAACATATATCATCAATTTGTGTAATAAAGCATTTACAAATAATGGAATTAATTATTTTTATTAAGATTTTCTCATCTGATCTTTATTTATTCTTATGCACACTCATATCTTTAAAACGAAGATCTTTGTTGATTTTTGTAAAAGTTGGAAAAAACATTGTCTAAAAAAAATCTGCAGGAAAAGAACGGTCATATTCCTGACTTGACACAGGCATTGTCCTGAGAAAATGGTGGGTTTAACCTGGTTTTCTAGCTAGCTAAAACGCCCACTTGTATGACAGTTTTTTTAATTTTTCGTAATATTGCCAAATTGGGTGAGCAACCCAAACAGACACACTTGGTTAAAGTGGCCATAACTGAGATCCAGCAGAAAAAACTGTGTAAACATACATCACAGACGTACAAAACAACTGTGCAAACATTTAAACACACTTACAATTAAATCAAACAAGGACAAAGCATAATAGCATATACACTTCCCCGATAAAATAAAAAATAAGTAAAATATAAATACAAGTGTATACAAAATGAAAACATGACTATGAAAACCTCACGTGTCCGCATCGCATCTCTGGACCCACCAGCATAAAAGCCAAAAACCTGAAAGCTGGATGCACATATACTATACCACATCAAGAGTTATACGTCCAAATGGAACATTGCAGTACAAAGACAAATAAATGTAAAACTGTGAAGTAGATAACATTCTACACAGAGTCAGCAACTAGAAACTCAAGACAATCCTATATTATTTATGAAGTAGACACTCAATATTTAACTATTTGGTACTTTCCTATGAACTTTTTGAGAAAAAGAACGAGACGTTCTTTCACAAAAGCCTGGCTAATTAACTTATTTGCTCAGACACTGATGACGTTTTACAAATTCTGAGTAGAGCTGCAAGCTCCTACATACCGTATGAGTTAAGAACTGCATAATCCATACGCGGATGAAGTTGGTAAATTTCTGCTAAGGTGAGGAAATGTCAATTCTTTGGTCTAACCCTTACGAAAAAAAACCGTACACATTAAAATATTTTCAGGGGAAGACCATCAGACCCCCTCGCTTCACTCATTCGTGGATGGATTTAGCATTATAAATACAAAGATATTTACTTTTCGACAATTTACGCTCTTGGAGGTCTCATTATCTTACAAGCCTAGTTAGCATTACCTCTTAAATAAAAACAGGTCTAAAGATGGGTCTATATGTATATATGTATAAAGAACGCACTAATTTTTTGTAAGAAATTACACGCTTCAACCAATTACAAGTATATCAATTGGTAAAAGAAATGTTGTTTTCTGATCATTAAGCCTGATCACTCCTTGTCTTTCACGATCAAAATGATGCGTTACATGATCTTTCACGATCAATTTTGATTAAAAATCAACAAAATTATACTTTTTCGAAAATAATTTTGAACATTTTCAAGTATTAAATAACATACTTTAATTTTACTGGACTGTCTGACACATTTAAGATTAAGTTTCAAATATATCATTATATATCAGAATGTGACCATTATAGATACAAAACGTGAGATTTTTTCTTAATGATTCTCATAGGATCGTGCGTCGCCTTTTATGCTTTCTTAAAAAGTACCACTTTTTTTCTTTAACGTAGTGCACAGTATCATTTAGGAAGTTGAATCATTTTGACAGACATATTGTTTTTACTGATGTGTTCCACTTTTTTGAAAATACATCAGATTTTTCACAGATTTTAAAGTAGAATTACACTTGATTGCATTCACAATCCGATCGCAATGCTTGACCACCGTTAGCTTTCACGATATATATAATGACACCCCTGGACAGTGGGTGCATATATTTTTCGTCGAGTAAATAAGACGCTTTGGTTGTAGGGGTATGGGACCTGAGGAAGTTTAGTTGTAGGAGTATGGGACCTGAGGAAGTTAAGTTGTAGAGGTATGGGACCTGAGGAAGTTTAGTTGTAGAGGTATGGGACCTGAGGAAGTTTAGTTGTAGGAGTATGGGACCTGAGGAAGTTTAGTTGTAGGGGTATGGGACCTGAGGAAGTTTAGTTGTAGAGGTATGGGACCTGAGAAAGTTTAGTTGTAGGGGTATGGGACCTGAGAAAGTTTAGTTGTAGACGTATGGGACCTGAGGAAGTTTAGTTGTAGAGGTATGGGACCTGAGGAAGTTAAGTTGTAGGGGTATGGGACCTGAGGAAGTTTAGTTGTAGGGGTATGGGACCTGAGGAAGTTTAGTTGTAGGAGTATGGGACCCGAGGATGTTTAGTTGTAGGGGTATGGGACCTGAGGAAGTTTAGTTGTAGAGGTATGGGACCTGAGGAAGTTTAGTTGTAGGGGTATGGGACCTGAGGAAGTTTAGTTGTAGAGGTATGGGACCTGAGGAAGTTTAGTTGTAGATGTATGGGACCTGAGGAAGTTTAGTTGTAGGAGTACGGGACCTGAGGAAGTTTAGTTGTAGGAGTATGGGACCTGCGGAAGTTTAGTTGTAGGAGTATGGGACCTGAGGAAGTTTAGTTGTAGAGGTTTGGGACCTGAGGAAGTTTAGTTGTAGGAGTATGGGACCTGAGGAAGTTTAGTTGTAGGAGTATGGGACCTGAGGAAGTTTAGTTGTAGGAGTATGGGACCTGAGGAAGTTTAGTTGTAGGGTAATGGGACCTGAGGAAGTTTAGTTGTAGAGGTATGGGACCTGAGGAAGTTTAGTTGTAGGAGTATGGGACCTGAGGAAGTTTAGTTTTGTAATGGATCCCTTTCTCGAACAACATTCCATCTGACACGATTTGTAATGGATTCATTTGATTATTTAGTTGGTTACTTGACAATAATTTTATATTGTTTATGTATAAATTCATTGCAACTAAGCAACAGTAATCTAAGAAGGATTAGCTTCCAATCTCAGAAAATAATAACTTTAGGTGGTCATCAGATTTATTCAGTCTGAAATGGCTGATATGACCATATATGAGGGTCCGGATGAGGTCTTTATTTCATCATTCTTTAGACAAAAAATCACTAGATACACAAGTAAAAGCATAAACAACTGAATTTTCTGTATTAATTTTGTTTTGAACCAACATTGCTTTAAAAGACTTCTTGTTTCATGTTGAAGAAGGTTTATGCAAACTGTTTCAATGTACTACAGTGGTTTTATATATTTCAAGAGCACATGTCTATATGTGAAATACATATCTGTCCTCTTTTAGTCCGACATTTTGTTTACATAACGACATACACTTAGTTATGTCGTGACAACAAAGAGGGTTTATCTGTATAAAAAGATATTTTGGTTTTACATGGCCACGTAAACTATATCTACTTAAGGAATAACTGTAATATTTTTTCTGTCTAAGAAGAAATAACATCAAAAATGTGGTGCACACTGAATAACATGCTACGCGGGTTATTTTTAAAGTGTGCATCACATTTTTTATGTTATTTCGAATAGACAGATAAAATATTACAGTTATTTCTTATAATTTAATTCTAAATTCCATTTTAAACCGGAGTAAACAATGAAAAAACGTTGATGACGTCACGGTCACATGACTAAATTATGTCTATGAGCTGATAAACAAAACAACGTCAGCCAATCAGCAGACGCGTTACATCCAAAATTAAATTATATTGTAATACTATACATTGTTTATAACTAATACTATATATTCTGTTTAAGCATATAAAAGCTGAATATAAACAAGAATTTTATTTGACATACCCTAATCTTGATACAAGAAAACTTATATGCAAATTTAGAATAAGTGATCATTCCCTCACTATTGAAACTGGAAGATATAAAAATATTCCACGCCCTCAAAGACTTTGTAATAAGTGCAAAGTTCTGGATGATGAATCCGATTTCTTTTTAATATTATGTAAAATAAATGATCATTTAAGACATGTCTTTTTTAATGATTTAAAAACTCAATACAAAGATTTTTCTGATAATAAAATGAAGTATATACTAAATCCAACCACTAGTCATCAAGTGAAATCTTTAGGCTCCTTTATTAAACAATCTATGGAAATGAGGACAGGGGGCACTTGAGGTCATTTGTTGTGTTTAATGTTTTGGTTTATTTTTATTTTTTATGTAAATTTTAATGTCATCATGATTATATTGTTGTTATTACATGTAATTGTCATGCCTTTGGCCCTCTTATGGGTGTAATTTGTGCTTTAATGAAAAAACAAAACTATACATTGTTCCACCTTTTGGTCGACGCTACATTTCTTCAGTCTTCACGACAGTTTATGAGCAATGTTCCTGATGCTGATATTTACGGAAGCTTATTAGAACCACACATTTTTTTTATATTTCTTTCTATGTTTATAGCACAAACGTTTTGATTTTAATTATTCGTTAAGTTTTGAATATTTTATAATAAAAAGCTATATTGAATTTACATTTTATGTTCATTATATAATTTGAAAGCAGTGTTTTGTAATTATCGGCATGTGCATGTCCGTCTGCCAATAAAATTTGGTTGAGATTTATTTAAGGTAGATCATAGGTATATACTTCTTGAGATAGAATTTTCTTATACTTTGCCAAAGTGAAGATTTTACTATGCTTTTTTCAAAAATATAATAAAAAGTATGGGTCACTGTGCTATTTTCCATGCTATGAGTCGTTGAAAATTGCCTAAATATGGTTAGATTGTTCATGAAAAACACATTTGTGTGCACAAAAAAAAATCTATGAGATAGAATTTTGAAATAAATTGTGAGAAGATAGGTTTTATAATATGTTTTAAGAAAGAAAAAAAAAGAAAAAATGGTGTCACCGAACTTGTTTTCTTGCTACAAGTAAAAATAAAAAATTTCCCTATCAGTCCAGTATATATTTTTTACTAAAAGAGTTATCTTCCCTGAGATGGCTTATTTGAAAAAAATTGATTCTAAAAACACAAAATTTGATATTTGTTTAAATATTTTGTGTTAAACAATAATCTACCAATTTTTATTTACATAAATAAACAGTCTAACCAATAAATTGTAAATCTGTCTCCAAATTTGCAGCTTTAGGCAAATAACTAGACCGATTTTGTACTGGGATTGTACAATCCAACATGGCGGTATACTATGAATCTACCTTAAGAAGAGAAGGACCATGAACACAATGCCGAATCATTATTATAAATAAACATAGGAATAAGGGAAAACTTGTATCGCAATTATACACAAATTAGGAAAGATTTTTGGATCAGAAAATTATATAAATTTTACATGTAAATAAATAATTATGGTAATGGAAAATTTGAATTAAAAGGCCAAGATTTTGAAAATTTTGATTTACGGAAAGTGGCAAAGTAGAGAAGAGCAAAAACAGAATTCATATAATTGTAAAACTATAAAGTCAAATAGACAAAATGATCTTTCGGCTTTAAAATGAATTATTTTGAATAAAAAAAAGAAGAATTTTGATGTAATAAATCGTTTGTTGAAATCTCAGAATATGATAAAGAGTCGTTGATAAAAAATCATGAGGTTTTAAATTTCAATCTAGTGAGGTATCTATTTAAGATGCTTGGGTAGCAATTTGAATGCAGAGTACAAAACTATAATAATAAAAAATCTTCATCTCATACATTTATTTCAATAGGGTAGCTTGTTTGGAACTAACCAATCGTACACAATGTTCAAACGAGCGCTTACTTTGGAAGTATATTTAAATTCGGCCAAATTAACAGGGTTGAAATTTATTTTCTTCGGTATAACTTCAATTTACTCAATTTTCTTTGTAATATATATATATATATATATATATACGATGTTGTTTGTGCTGTATTAAGACCCCTCTACCAAGAAATTTGTTGTGCATGCACACGTATAAAAAATGTGGTTTTTATCCAACGCAATCATGGGTTTGAACGTTGTTATCAATTAAGACTTATATATATATATACATGTATTCTCCTGTTCATTAGTATGCCATGATAAGTATTTTACTTTACAATAAATACAAAGGGGGATATATTTTAATATATGCAGCCTCCTCCTTTTATAACAGCTGCTTCCCTTGAAACATAAATAGGAAATAAGATATAACAACTGTTTGCGTTATTTCGCAAACGTTTGCATTATTTTGCAAAGGTTTGCGTTATTTCGCAAAAGTTTGCATTATTTCGCAAAGGTTTGCGTTATGAATTATAAATTGTGTAGCGCTTAGTCTAATACGCTTCAGTATATATTTGTGTAAGGAAGTAGTAGATTTTGTGAAAGCTCATGTTCATATCGACGTGCACTATACATAATGATTAATCTAACTTTATTTAGAATTGATATTTCTAAAGATGTCACTCCAAAGAAGGTGTTTGAACAATATCCTTGCTAGTGTATCTGTATAAAGATTTTGTGACACGAACACGTCCTCTTTATCCACGTGAAGTCATGAACTATACATTAGTCAACCTTCTTAAGAATTGACATTTCGTTATACAAGACGACAAAGAAAATAAATGAACAATGTTCCCACTGCTTTTATCTGTATAAAAGTATTGAATAGAAACGTTGCCTGATAGAAAGTTTTGAATCTAAAGAAACAAAAGGAAATGCTTCGACATTCAACAGAGTTTCGTTAATTCTATTCACGTCTAAATCGTCGTTAGCAGACGACAGTCAATGTCATCTTGTGTCAGCAGCACGCGTTTCCCGCCAAGATGACAAAGGAAATGTGGACTACAATAGTGTTTCCGGTTTGCCTCGAGGCATCTGGGGAAAAATCCACGTGATTTATTGATATTATGATTATGACATCTCCCCGAACTTCAAGACTTAGCAGTGTCTTCTGTTAAGTAGATATTATGTCAATATTAGTTCCGATATAGGAAAATATTATTTCTAAGAAACGACATGCGTGATTCTTTTATAGATGAAGGAATCTGATGCCTTAGCTCATTAATTGATAAGAATGTCGGAGTCCATTCTTTGTAGCCTGCCGTTGCTCTTTTAATAAAATATCTGTTAGCTATACTGGTATTATTCATCTGACGAATTGGATCTGGATAGGGTCTTCAATTCTGCATTCATTTATAAAAACTAGACCACTTTTCCCTATAGTTCATTATTCTGCGGCCAATTATTCTCTTACTATGTTTTTGACAAATTATTGTTCTCAGTCTATTCTTTATATTTTTGCACCCAAATATTCTTTTGTCCATTTTCTCAATGAAGAACAAATGTATCCCACACATCTCCTTTCATTCATACTGATTTATTTTCTAAAAATCCCAGTTTTATATATCTATTGTTCAATCTTTAGGGAAATATGCTTTTCTACATAACAATATTAATCTAAAAGCTACAGTATATAACTTGATATTGTTTTACGTTTTATCAGTTTGTTCTATCAATTGTTTTGTTTTTGTTTGTGAATAGTAATTATTATTATATTTCAACA